AGATTAAGAGTTTAATTCTTAGATTACAATAGATTGTAATCTAAAAGTTGCTCGGTTAGTGAACTTGAAATCCTACGAGTGTAAGTCGTAGTTTTTAATCTCGTGAGCTGTGAGTTTTCCACGTAAAACTCTGTTGTATCATTTCATTATCTCTTATTATGCGTATTCTGTGGGAACTGATAGAGAACCAAGTTCTCTATATAGCTTGGTGTACCCTAAGGTTCTATGAATTTTATTTCTAACATGTCCAATAAAATACAATTAGTTCAAATAAAATTAATTAATATGAAAGAGATATAGTTATATTACATAGTTTAAATAAGGAAAAGATTCATATATACTAAACTCTTAATTGATTTAAACTTCTAAATATTATGACTTCATACATGGTCCAAAAAACGAATGATTTAATAATAAGCAAAATTTTAGTTAATTTTAAATTCCTGAATATTAGGAAGGTATTTAAATTACAGTTTTATCTAGCGTGAACTCCATTTTTAAAAGATAAAAAAGACGAACGACATTTCACTAAGGATCTTCGTGCTTTTAATATAGTGTGTGTGTGTATATATATAGAGAGAGAGATTATGAAATAGCCATGTTTAAAGAAAAAAATTGGCTTGTAATTGCCACTTTGCCGTACAACCCTAAAACAACATTCCTAGGCCTTTCTTTTATTACAAATGTGCAATCACACAATATATTCTCTAGCTGATGCAATCCGTTTCTATAAAAGACAAGGTCCAGGAAAGGGCCGCACCCCAAGGTGTATGATGTAGGTAGCCTATGGCTGATTCCACTGCTCGAACCCGCGCCCTTTAGGTCACACAAAGACATCTTTAATGTTGCTCCAAGGCTCCCCTTCTATAACAACAACATCAACCCAGTAGTAATCTCACTAGTGGGGTCTGGGGAGGGTAGAGTGTATGCAGACCTTACCCCTACCCGGGGTAGAGAGGTTATTTCCGGGAGACCCTCGGCTCAGAGACAAAAGATCTGTAACAACACAGAAATCAGACAAATAGAATCAGCACCGTAAGAGACAACAAATAAGTGGAAGGGCAATAAGTATGTCAATAATAAAATTGAAAAATAAATTATGGAAATAAAAATGGTGTGATGAACAACAACCGCTAGCAGACCTAGACCAAACTCTATCAGACTAGCTAGAAAAATGCTCAACTACCCCCTAACCTACAACCCTAATGCTCGACCTCTACACCTCCCTATCCAGGGCCATGTCCTCGGAAATTTGAAGTTGCGCCATGTCTTACCTGATCACCTCGCCCCAATACTTCTTAGGTCGCCCTCTACCTCTTCTCGTACCTGTCAAAGTCAACCGTTCACACCTCCTAACCGGGGCCTCTAGGCTCCTCCTCCGCACGTGCCCGTACCATCTAAGTCTCGCTTCCCGCATCTTGACGTCCATGGGAGCCACGCCCACCCTCTACCGAATATCTTCATTCCTAATCTTATCCAGCCTAGTGTGCCCACACATCCATCTCAACATCCTCATTTCGGTTACTTTCATCTTCTGGATATGAGAATTCTTGACTGGCCAACACTCAGCTCCATACAACATGGCCGGTCTAACCACCGCTCTATATAACTTACCTTTAAGTTTCAGTGGCACCTTCTTGTCGCACAGGACTCCAAACGCTAACCTCAATTTCATCTACCCCACCCCAATACGGTGCGTGACATCCCCGTCGATCTCCCCGTCTCCTTGGATAATTGACCCTAGATACTTAAAACTCTCTCTCTTAGGGATGACTTGCGAGTCAAGCGTCACCTCTACGCCTGCTTCCCCCAACTCCCCACTGAACTGACACTCCAAATATTCCGTCTTGGTCCTACTCAACTTGAAACCTTTAGACTCCGGGGCCTGCCTCCATACCTCCAGTCTCTCATTCATGCCGCCTTTCATCTCATCAATCAGAACTATATCATCAGCGAACAACATACACCATGGTACCTCCCCTTGAATATGGTGTGTCAGTGCGTCCATCACCAGAGCAAATAAGAACGGGTTGAGCGCAGATCCTTGGTATAACCCTATAACCACCGGAAAAGGCTCTGAGTCCCCTCCCACAGTCCTTACCCGAGTCTTAACTCTATTATACAAATCCTTTATTGCACTAATATAAGCTACTGGCACACCTTTCACCTCCAGGCATCTCCAAAGAACGTCCCTAGGGACCTTGTCATACGTCTTCTCTAGATCAATAAATACCATGTGCAAATCCCTTTTCTTATCTCTGTACTATTCCACCAACCTCCTGATAAGGTGGATAGCTTCCGTTGTAGAACGACCTGGCATGAACCCGAACTGGTTATATGATATTGACACTGCCCTCCTTACCCTCCCTTCCACCACACTTCCCAAACTTTCATGGTATGACTTAATAACTTAATACCCCTATAGTTGTTACAATTTTTGTTCTTGTATAGCGGGATCATCGTACTCCACCTCCACTCATCTGGCATCCTCTTCGTCCTGAAAATAACATTAAACAGCCCAGTCAGCCACTCCAAACCTGCTCTACCCACATACCTCCAAAATTCCACTGGAATCTCGTCTGGTCTAGTCGCTTTGCCCTGGCTCATCTTACGCATTGCTCCCACGACCTCCTCCACCTCAATACGCCCACAATACCTAAAGTCTTGGTGACTCTCGGAGTGCCCCAATTCCCCTAACTCGATGTTTCTGTCTCCCTCTTCATTCAGAAGTCTATGAAAATACGACTGTCATCTCTGCTTAATTTGGGCTTCTTCCATCAATACATGACCTTCCTTGTCTTTGATACACCTCACTTGCGATCACGAGCCTTCCTCTCTCTCTCTCGCTTTGGCCAGCCAAAATAACTTCTTGTCCCCACCTTTACCCCCCAATCCCTCATACAGCCACCCAAACGCAGCCGTCTTAGCCTCCGTGACCGCTACTTTCGCCTCCTTCCTAGCTTCCTTATACCTTTCTCTGTTCTCTCTCATCCGCTCTTCGTCGGTGCTCTCCACTAACTTAAGGTAAGCCGCTTTCTTTGCTTCCACTTTACTCTAGACCACGCCATTCCACCACCAGTCGCCTCGGTGCCCACCTGAGTATCCCTTCGAGACCCCTAATACCTTCTCTCGCCGCCTCCCTTATACAATCCGTCGTCACCGTCCACTTACCGCTAGCATCTCCACCACTCTTCCAGGCTCCCATTGTCGCCAACTTCCCCTCCAACTCCAACGCAATATCCTTAGTCAAGGCTTCCCACCTGATCCTTGGTTGACCTCGTACAAACCTCTTCTTCCTCTTTATCAAGATACCGATATCCATCACCAAGAGTCTATGCTGTGTCGCGAGATTCTCACTCGGGATCACCTTACAATCCTCGCACAACCCCTTATCACACCTCCTGAGGAGAAGATAATCGATTTGAGTCTTAGCCACCATACTCCGGAAAGTAATCAAATGCTCCTCCTTCTTCGGAAAAATAGAGTTCACGATCACCAACTCAAAAGCTCTAGCGAAATCCAACAGTGAAGTGCCTCCCCCTTCCTAACCCCACAACCGAAGCCGCCGTGTACCTCACCATAGCCACTAGCAGACGACCCAATATGCCCATTGAAATCCCCTCCTATAACTAACTTCTCTGTAGGCGGAGTACCCCGCACCACCTCATCCAACTCCTCCCAAAATTGCCTTTTAACCTCCTCGTCCAAGCCCACTTGCGGCGCGTAAGCGCTAATGACATTCAGAGTGTTTCGTCCAACTACTAACTTAATCGTTATCACTCACACGCCTAACCTCTACCACTGACTCTCTAAGCTCCCTATCCACCAAAATACCCACTCCGTTCTTGCCCTTCAGGCCTCCGGAGTACCACAACTTATACCCGTCGGCATTCCTCGCCTTCGATCCTATCCACCTAGTCTCCTGAACACAAGCTATATTTACCTTTCTTTTCTGGAGAATTTTCGCCAGCTCTATAGACTTACCCGTCAATGTCCCTATATTCCACGATCCAATTCTCAATCTATAGGTACTCTTGTTCCTCTTACCCCCTATAGGCCCCGTCCCACCCCCCCGACCCTTGCCCT